TTATTCTTTTAGGTAATTCTGATACATTGTCAAAGTTGACAAAGATACGTAAGATGCAGGAAGACTTGACATTAAGACATTTTGAAATTGATCAAATGAGAATTAGTCAAGAGAAGTAAGAAGTTCAGGGCTTGGTTTAATAGTTAAAGTTAACTTTTGAAAATCATTTAGTTCGGGTAAAGATTATCAAGTAGAAGCATCTCTTAATGAACTGACACAAACAGTAAGTAAAGCATATCTATGTTCATGATTTGTTTTTTTTTCTTATAAAAGTTAGAGAAACTTGGCAATGAAATGTATCCTTTAATCATAATGTATGTAAGTGTAATATGCTATAATAAAACAGTTTCCTTAACTCTATCTTTCAGACAGTCATTGCATTCATGAAAATGACATGTCTCATTTAATTGTTTATTTTTTGCTTTTGATGACATTATAGTAAAGTTGATATAACTTTGTTGTATCCATCATGTACAATATATCAGTAAATGTTATTATTCAATATTCACTAGCTATTATTCTCCTATTGGGCTTTGGCAAGGAGGCTGACCTAGTCCATGCACATTGGTTTGTCTTTAACCTAGCGTGAGAGGCTTATAGTCTTAAGCTGACTAGTTTGATTTCCATTGAGCGGATGAAAGAGCTGGTGGAATGTGGCTACTGGCTATGGCATAATGATTAATATTAGATTTGTATCACGTGATGTAATCTAATACTTTGCGCCCATGGGCCCACCTCAAAGCAGTAACAAGAGTCGAGAATTCGACATCAACATTGTTTCAACAATTCAACTGTCACCTAGATGGCCAGCTTTGGCGCCATTTCTATTCTGTATGGAAGAACTTTAAGTGAGTACTGGAGTGCAATTGATATTAGACAAAAAAATGATGTTTGTGATTATTAATCTAGATATTGGAGATCTTGACGAAGTTATTGCATTACTCGAGAGGCATAATTACAGCAAAGCATCGTATAATCGACTTGGCCTACGTCTTAAAATATCTCAAAATACACTAGAGAAAATTAAGAAAGATTATCGAGAAGTAGATCCTTGTTTTACAGAGTGTTTGGCTAGCTGGTTGCGTAAAGCTGATGGCGTGAAGAAGCCAACAATAGGTACACTGATAGCTGCCCTTAGAGGAATAGGAGAGAATGCTGTAGCTGATGGTATTGATAGAGAAAGACAAAGTAAATGAAATTTCTTGAATCATTTTGAAAATTTAAATTTATTTCATCTTCAGCCACACCCCCAAAACCTCCAATATTGCATTCCGATTCCAGTGTAGGTGAGTAAGGTTACCGTACAGGGCATAATGTTTGCGGGATGCAAATTTTGCAGATAAAGAAAATTTGCGAAAATAAAATCTACAGATATCAATTTAATACGGTATCTGCATGGCACACGTGGTAGAATTCACGAAATTAAAATCCACAAATTGGAATTTTAGTAGATTTCGTGAAATTTGCCTCCTGTGAACAATATGCCCTATATGGTATTATATTGAAAGTGTTGACCAAGTCATTGTGTAATAATGGGATTGGGATATATCTTTACTCCTTTACACAGTGTATGTAGCATTTTATTTCTTGTAGGGCATT